AAGACAATGCTTTTCAGCCTGAACTCCCTTTGAAATTGTGTGTTTATAAAATATTGGTTACAGTGCTCAAAATCACACAATTGCTTAGTTGCATGTCTCAGTCTATTATGAAGAGCCAGTTCTTAAATTACATGTTGTCATAGATATCTATGCCTTTGTAATAACAAAATTAATCACTAGAAAATTAATACTGTAATTTTTATAATTTTTAGTACTACTAGATTGAACAGACATAAAATTAATCACAAAAATAAGAACGAAAATTTGCAAACCCTGTTTATTACATATCGAAAATGTATATACAGGCAGTTAGTATGATACCTGTGTATTCTTAGTTACTGGCAAAGTAGCAGTTATTTTTGTCTTCAGCCACTATTACATTCTTGGGACCTAACTGCCTACTTGAATCTGCTATATAATTCTTTTCCAGAAATGGCTGGTCAGAATCAAATTGCAAGACTTACAAGTGAAAATTTTCAAGTCCTAACCATATTAAGTTGAGCGTACATGCCACACAGCTGTATTTTAAACAAGTAGTCGATGATGCTTAATGGAGCTGTACAAACCTGGCCAACTATAAACAGAAATAGTATACTGAGATTGTTACTGTTGAAAACAAAAAAGTTTGAGAAGGCTATCAGGTTTCATTCTTTACGTTGTGAAAAATGTGTTAGTGCTTCCTACTATTCAAAGAAAAAAGCTTGAGTACGTTGCACGCCTGTAATCTAAGCACCTAGGACGTTGAGGCAGAAAAGATTGAGTATATAATATAAAAATTACAGTTTTAATTTTCTATGGATTAATTTGTGTTATGTATTACAAAGGCATTGAGTTTGAAGCCAGCCCAAGCTATATAATAATAGCTGGTTTCGGGCCAACCAGTGCTGTAAGTAGCAGAGACCATGTCTTAAAAGTATAGAAAAGTGCAGTAAAAGTCTAGTACCTGAAACACTTGAGTAGGTAAAATAAATATGTAGACATGGAGAATATATTGTGATAAATGCAGTGATAGGAGTATGTAGAAAATGTTA